ATTGTCTTGTGTCCTTTGAGGTGGAATATATAGAAAATGTTTACACACACACACACACACACACACACACACACACACACACACACACACACACACACTAAATAGTCTGTAGTGTAGTGAAAACCAGTGAAGTGACAGATTAGATTACACAAAAATCATGGATAATACATTTGTAAATAACTGGACACGAATAACTTGAGCTTCTTATATAATATAGATTTAGTATATTTGTAGCTTATTACGCAGCTCATTTTCTTTCTTCAGGTGTGAAATGTAAAACTGAGGTCAGAGGTCAAATGTGGCACAATACTTTTTGAGACAAACTATAATGTGATATTTAGAATACCCATATACCAGTATAATTTCCTAAATGTCGCCAATACAAACAAAGGACGCTGAATTCTAAGTGTAGTTTTAAAGATAAAAGACAAATCAATAAGTTGACCTTAAAGACTTTGGTGAAAGTAAGCCAAATATTACTGGTCATCATGATCCCACTCTACCCTCCCACAAAGTTTTATCAGAATTGATTCAAAACATTTCCGCTATCATGATTACAGACAGAATGATATGCATGCAAACACAACCAAAAACATGACCTCTGTGGTAGAACTGCTTTACCTGAAGGAAATGAGGTTGGTGTAGCAGAGGATGGGGCAGAAGAAAGCGAGCAGGAGCTTCCAGACCTCTGTGTTCCTCTTCATATCACCCCACCAGATCTGGGACAGCAGAGACTGGAAGAGGAGAGAAAAAACAAGGACTTATCCATCAGCAGTACTGGCTCAACATGGGGATATGTTATTTTGGAAGCATTATGCCATTTTTCATTTGTAAGTAATTTATACTGTTGTACTGTACAAATCTGGATGGTCGTGTATACAAGTTCTTTATAAAAAGCAATACTTTTAGATAGGAGTAGCTAAATAATTACAGATCAGTGTATAAAGATGTATAACAAGGCATTGTGTATTAGCATATTTATTTATAGAGACTGTATATGTATACATTAGTTTGTATAATGAAAACAGCCTTATGCTTCATCAGACCATTTCAGTTTCAGCTTAATATATCAAGTGCTTTTTAAGATGTGTTTTTTGACAATTTGTCCATGTACCCACTTTAAGGTCTTTTTCTCCACATCTAAATCTGAGGCAACGTTTGAACACGAATATCTCTATTAAAGATAAAAGACTGAATTTTCACTGTCCTTTCTTACCATCAAAATTGATCTGTAACTTGGGACAGACGCACCAAAAATGTCGTAAGTATTGGTTAGTTAGAATATAAAGAAAAAGAAAGTCCAGCATTCCTGCAAAATCCCATATTTGAGCACATGTTAAATAAAAACTTCAAATTGCAAGAGAACTACTGATATTTTTGTAGTTTATAGTTGAATAACACAATGTTGTAAAATAAATCTGTAGAAAACCTTTTTACCATGAAATAATTCACACTTACAAAACAGCAAGAATTTCATTCTACAGGGAATAATATGACGTACAACAAAACCAAAAATGTCAGTAGACCATCTTTGATCTGTCCAAACAGAATACAGATGCTACTCCAATTCAGAAAATAATTTTGTTAAATATGCGTATGTTTTTTTTATTTTCAAGACCTGGGTCATTATATTATCTGCTCCATCGTCTCCCAGCTTCTTATATCAAACAACATTTTAGATATCAGGGGTTTTTTTGTTTTTTTTAAAGACCGTTCTGCACACTTTCATGCCTTTTTTTCCCCACATTGAAAAAGAAGTCAATGTTTGAACATGACTATCAGAAAAACAATTAAAGATAAAAGCCAGGATAAAAACAGGATTTCTCATTTAGGACAAATACATCAAGAAGTGTCTGCGTATTGGCGAAAAATTAAAGCAATCTTTTAAAATTCCATATTTGTGCACACAATTTAAAAAATTTTTTAAAAATTTAAAAAAAAAATGCTGGTTCTATTTAACTTTTATGCTGGAAATATCACAAGTTGTACAAGTAAAAATATCCGTAGATAGTCTAATCTAAATACAACAACAACACATGGTATTCAATTTATAACCACGAAACAATTTTTTTTTGTACAATATGTGCAAATTTTTCATTTTCATGACCTGTTCTACCTACCTACCATTTTGAGACCTACACTCCTGGAAGAGAATATTTCACATGAAAATATATTTCAGGTGAGAATGATCTGCTAGCCTTTTTTTAATATATTGCTTGACAGTATATAAAAATATATATAAGCTAAAATTTCGCAGTAATCATTATGTACGTCCAAACTTGGAACGATAACATTTTTTAATAGAAAAATTTGACTGATAATTTTTTTTTAAAACCTCGATTTGTGACAGAGTGACCAAGGTCTGAAAATTTAACTGAATTATTTCCCAATTATAATTCCAGCACCATCTAGAAGATGCAATTTTGTTACTCACATATTTTTTATGCAAATTAAAAACACTGATTCATTTTAATCGGCCCAGTGAAAGTCTTTGAGATATCAATCTTAAAACATTGTTGCAGATTTCAATGTACAAAACACATCATTTGAAAGTGGGTCGAAGGACAATGGGGTTTTTTTTGTTTTTGTTTTTTTAATTATATTTTTAAAAATTATTTGTTACATTAAGGTAGAATTTCAAAGATAAGATTTGTTCAAACTATTGGACCACAAAATTATTACGCAAATTGCAGATTTTCGAGCAAGAAATGTTACAAAAGCTGGCTTATTTGGGATGGAATGACCCACTTTATTCCCTCAACTGATCAATATTTTCTCTATATATATGATGGCTTCCTTTGATTTCATGTTCATTTGTTTAATAGCATTCAGTTCATTTTGTTTCAAACATTTACATTCACAATCATTACAAAATATCATTCCATTCTTTGCATTTGTTACCTATATTTTGGAAAATGACGATGTTATTCAGATTCATTGCCCATGTGCTAGATGAAAGGAATGCCATTCACATGAATGACAAATATGACACACCTGTACGCAGCTAAACTGCCATACAGGACAGGGGAAAAAAACATGAAAGAAAGAGGTTAAAAATCGAACACACCTGTACGCCATCATTACTGAAGAAAAGCCGGGCATCGGCACTCACGCCCATCTGAAGGCAGGTGGTGTCACCCCAGATTGGAGACTTCCTAATTAGCAGGGTGAAGGAACGGTTTTCATCACTCCGATAACAAGAGCTAAAAATATCTGAAATAAAGTGGACAAGACACATGATGGAGAGTTCGATGAGATTTGTTACTATTGTGTTACATCAGCTGTTGAAAGGAAAATTCTAAGGAAATTAAATAAAATGATTGCAAAACTAGATATCAAACCATCCTAACAGTGTAGTGCAAAACTGCAGTTACTGTCTCACCATGAGCCAGGTTCTCAAACTTCTGGGCCAGTTCTTTCATGGAGAGTTTGGTTTCAGTCTCCTCCTCCAGTTTGGACAAGTCTCTGAGTATATTACAGCCACTGAGAGCACTCAGGACTGCCTCACCTGCCTGGAAAGGAGATCACCAATTTACAACATCACTTTACTTTATGTTTTTAGCAATTATTTAATTTTATATTAAGACTTAACACTATGACTGTATAATATTTAAAAAAAATAGGATCATAAAATAATAATTAACAATATATTGCAATTAATTGACTCGAACAACTTTGATACATGGTAAGCAGCGTCTAGTTCGAGGTTGTCAAATGTACAGCCCGCAGGCTGAGATCATTTCCAATGCCCATTAATGGTATTAATGGCCCGTCAGGATGTGGATGTGCAGACGGGGGTGGGGCTTTAT